AACAGCATGAGCATTGATCTACGCAGTTGGGATATGATGACATGTGTCAACCAAGTCAGCGAGTCTGACCACCCGATCCCATTAGTCGCTTGTTATGACAAGCATGGGTTGCTGAAGACCAATTCTAAACTGTATTTTCACAGGTTCTTTGCCTTGGTAAGATGCCCATGGTTCTTAGAGAACTGCATTGTGGTCAGACATTACACCAAACAGGTGAACTCTAAAAACTGTATTTGTTATGGAGGAAAAGATGGCGGCAACCGAGAAACCACTGATATATTTTTCAATCTGGAGTCCTTATTCAAAGTTCATGAAATAATGTACATGTTTTGGGGGTAATTGATTAAGGGAGAGATTTGCAGCCATTGGGAATGAAGAAGTGTACTGTACATACTCTTGTACACATTGACACAGTTGTCTCTAGCTCCCCAAAGATAGCACAATATATTGTCCCTTTGGTGTATTGGCACTGGTAGACAAATCTCTGTGTCTGGCTTCAGTTTGTTCTGATGCAGGGTCAGTGTTGATACATTTGGAACAATGTTTGTCACTGGCCACAGACATTCTCCTTTTAATAGCATTCAACATGGCCTGAGCCATTCAAATAACCGGAGTCTGGTGTTTAACTTTTGTCAGCTGCAGTCGTCTGTTGGCTGTTGTCCAGCCTTCCTTGTCGGTTGTCTAAGTCAATGTTTCTAGTAATTCCTTACGTATACAATTCTGCTTCTTTTGTGGTTTATTTTAATGTAGTAATCTCTACATTACTACCACCCTAACAGAGTTATTATTTATTATTTAAATTTTTCTTCAAGGAATCTATCAGACAACTGCAATATTTCATTCCACAGATTGTAACTCTTATAAATTTGACCATGCTTGTAATGCAAGGTAAAGATATTTTTGTATGTTATTCCAATAGATGTTGACTGGACATTTGAAACAGTATAAATAAAACAACATTAATGATCTGTTGATATTTAAATGGTGGGGGAAATGGGGGAACGGGGTGATAGGTGATCTATCTAACCTCAAACCTCGTAACCTGTGCCTCAATCTCATAGGCTTGAAAACATTACTAACTGGGTTTCAAATCCCAGACATTTTTCACTGCATGAACACTTTTCTTGATGAGTATATATTATTTATCCCAGATTTGGAGAAAAATGCTGTTTGTTTTGGAATTTCATGTAAAGAGACGGTGCTTCATCAAATGACTGTGTATCAGTGTTGATGGTGCTATACAGTAGTTCCAAATGAAACTATTTACCCCAGTACATCAATCATCTAGCCCATACTAGATCAAATCTGCAAGAGGTTTTCATAAAGGAGGCGAAAGATCTGTGCTAAGCTGAGTGGAAAAACGATCACGAGGGTATAGAATTATGCCAATCCATCTTCATTGCCAATATTTGACAGCCATCAGAATCCTTACATCTTCAATAATAGCCTGATTCTGTCAATGAAATGACCGTGCACCTGGTTACATAAAAAATATTTCTTCACTTCTGTTTCGTTAAATAAGGACAATGGTCCTTCCTCATGTCCATGCAATTGCTTGCTCATTTATCAAAAGCACAATGTGTAAACCTGAGACAATTTCTTGTAGTAATTAGGGCAATATTTTACAGTTATGTTGATACATTGTAAACTGAACTTTTTCTTATTTTTTTTGGTTCCCGCTCTACAACATATATAATACATAGATGTACACGTTTTGCCTTTCAATTGTAAAGTATGGATTACAGATAGGTATTCTAAGTTCCGCCATTTGTGCACATAGACAATACAGTCATATGTATAAAGATAAAGATTTATCATCCCAAACTGTGTTCCACAGGAGATATTGCTTGTGTGAGATCATACGATATCTCCTAGGAGATATCGTTTTGACAGTAGATTTTGTACAATGCCCTGACAATGCTATGACGTCATGAACTTGATGACGTCACAATGCTATGACATTGCTGCACTGCAAGTCTAATGGCAGTACCATGTTATGAGATGCACATTTTTCATTGAAAACTAATGAAGAGTGATTTTTTATGATAAATAGATCTCACCCTCGTGTCTACTGATATCAATTAAATCAACACTCGTTGACAAAAGTAAAAATATCCTCGGCAAGCCTCGGATATTTGTAACTTTATCAACTCGTGTTGATATAATTGATATCAGTAGACATGAGGGTGAGATTCTTTATGTATAAACTGAACCTAGCGGACAACAAAGTGGGCCTTGGAAGACTTTAACTGAAATTGTTAGGATTGTCAGTTAGGTTGAGTGAGTGAGTGAATTGGGTTTTACACCGCTTTTAGCAATATTCCAGCAATATCACACGACGGGGACACCAGAAATGGGCTTCACACATTGTACCCATGTGGGGAATCGAACCCGGGCCTTCCGTGTGACGAGCAACCACTTTAACCACCAGGCTACCCCACCGGCCCTCGTTAGCTTGAGCATATGTATATAATCTTTACAGTCTTTACAATGTAAAACTAGTTCCTCACACTAATGACGGGTATCAGAGTCACCTGGACAATGGTTATGAATTCCTGCAGAATTTCTGCCTGTGAATAGGTAGTTCAGTGGGTAGTGCGATCATCTGTCTCAAACATGGACTGGACTTCATTCCCTACATGGATACAATCTGTGAAGCATTTGAAGACTTTTTGTTTGCCTGTGACACTGGGCTGCAACATTAAATGATACTCTTTCTCCAAATTGTACTGAGCCATTGGAGCAAGGTATGCAGGATAGAGGCAGGCTAAAACAGTAGAGAAAGGTATGGGTGCACATCTCCCAGACTTGTTCTCTGCTGCCTAGTGCTGCCTAGTTCCACCTCAACAGCCAACAAAAACTCCAGAGTATTGCTGCCTGTATTGTCACATGTAGGCCAGGTGACATTAAACTTACAGTAAAATACAGTATGTTTCATCATGTAGGCCAGGTGACATTAAACTTACAATCGTCTACCCCACGTATAAGGTGACAACCCTTTCTCAGCCCCCTCATTTCAGATACGAAAAACTCAGTAAAAATACAGTATGTTTCATCAGTGGCTCTGAGCACAAGCTCCTGCCAAACTTCTAACTAAACGTCAAAACATTTGAATACTCTTCTTTCCAAAAGCCTACAGAGTCCGGAATACTCAGCCTTGATTGTCACATTTACATCCAGCCAGACTAACATTACACATAAATCTCATCTCTGTCCCAGTACAAGCTCCAAAATACTTATGTAAACTTATACATATTTACATTCTGCGATACTAATTATATTCTGCAATGCTGTAAACCTGCTATAACCTCAAAGATAGAAACTCAAAACATTTGAATATTCTCTTCCTTGAATTCTTCTTCCATGCTGCCATGAAATGGAACACAAAACCAAAATATAATCAATGTCCTAAAATCCAAACAATACCTACTGCAAGCCTAAAAACAGGCCTGTTTCAAACCTTCGACTGTCGTAAGGAACTGTAACTTATCATGCCGCATGGATTTGGTGCGATATAAGTGTTGTTATTATGACTTGGACAGAGGAGGCTTATGATAGTACAGAGAGCTGTGTTGCACTTTGATGTATTCTTCCTATGAGTAGTTTGGCATTGTTATTAAAATATTGAAATTCATAAAATAGTTTCAGTGAGTGAACTTTTCACTTAATTGTAACCATCATAAACTAGCCTTTGTAAACTGTGCTTGTAATGCAAGGTAAGCCCAGACCAATTTTATGTCTTGTTTTATGGACCCGCCTATCATATTTTTTCAAGAATAAGAAAAAAAGAAAACTTAATTTTCCCCACTCAAAAAATAAACTCCTCATGTTTTTATTGGCCAAAAATATTTTGCCCCATTTTTTTTTTTTATTCCCCTCCTGCCTTTAGGTTTTCTGAGGACAAAAATCCATAAAACAAGAAATAAAATTGGTCTGGCCTCAAGATATTTTTGTATGTTATTTCAATAGAGGTAGATTGAACATTTGAAACAATATGAATAAAATAACTCTTTTGATAAATTATCTGTTGATATTTACATAGTGGGAGGGAATGAGGGGCAGGTTGTGTGGCAGGAAAACATTACTAAATGGGTTTCAAATCCCAGACATTTTTACCTGTGTATGAAATTCAGAAAATAGTTTCAGTGAGTAAACTTTTCAATGACAATTTTAAATCTCACCTCTTGGATTGGCAGTTTAGAAACTGATAAGTGATAACAAAGGTAAGATACTTTATGGATGACAATGTGATGTAATAAACATGTTGTTACCTTTATTTGTGAAAAAATAACATTAAATTAATCCTGTTTTTGAATATTGGTTTCACCTGTTTTAACATATTTTAACCCAAATACAGGTGACCAGCTAAATCATATATTTAGCACCATTTTTCTGTGCAATAAATCCCAACACCTGTGAATGCATTCTTTTCATCCGAGCAGATTGTAAATTTGTGGTTATGTGATATTGAATACCTGCAATGACCTAATTGTCTGGCTTACCTTGCAGGTATTGATTAAACTGAACTTAAATCATTAATCTTCATGTCTGTACCTGGTGATTTAATATACATAACTCAGGAAATGCTTTGTTGTCATGAAAGAATAATCATAGGTTAAAGAAAAATGTTGATATTCTCTTCATATTTATTACTGATATTTCATAACTTTGAATTAATATAGTTTTGATGAGAATAATGCATTGCACTTGATGACTGGGGTAGTATTTTGAAATGTAACAGATTGATACACACATTGATACAGTATTGATTATGGTATATTGAGTTTATAAACCCATCGCACGCTCCTGTAATTATCTCATCAGTTGACTCATTATAGTCAGGTTGACATAAATAGTTCTGACACTGAGACAAGCTCAAGTTATTATTCCTACCCTGAACCCCCCTCTGATGTGGACTCATCCATAGATATAGACTCTTCCACAGACTGGCATGATTATTGATTATTGAGTCGAGACTAGCTATTGGATCTCTGGGTTTGGAGGCCAACGATAGCTTCCATGGAACTGCCTTTCTTGTAGCGGATGAGCGTCACTGTGACCCGTGTGACGTCACGCCAAACCTACACAAGCCACATAATTTATGTGGCCATTCACAACATGCTAGCTAGCTCTGGTTCTATTGGATTTCTAGCAGACAAGATGGCTGACAAAATGGACTAACGAAGGATTCTGTTTCAGAGGGATTATTGTCGTTTCAACATCCAGGATGTTGAAAGTGTACAGGCCAATATGTCCTGATACATTCAGGTATGAGTATATCGTGTTATTTACCATTCCAACCCAGTTTCATCAAGCTTTTTGATTTTTAATATATGAGAATATTTAACATACACACAATGCCTTCATATGAGTTAGCTTATTCAAATCGTTCCATGACAGCTTCTAAATCATCATGTTAATGTTTGAATTTCTGTGTTGTCGTGTTCAACACATGTTCATCCTCAACAGGTCTTGTTTGGCGAAATGTAGACATTCCAGAGGAGTCCTTCCATATTGGACTGAACATTAAATTCACACTTCCTCATAGAATCTGTCTCAATTAGGGAAGGTTTGCTAGAGCACATGGTGTACATTTAATACATCAAGCTAACACAGTTGCCGTGGTTACTTCTGTGTATGAATACAGCCCAAACTGTGTCAATTAATCTTTAATGGCGAGGACAGTTATTTAAATGTTCACTCACTGGTATCGGAAGAGATTAGAAGCATGATTGTATTGACGTCCATCAATTATGAAACATACATGATCATTATTGGATGGCTTGATGTGTTTTTGGTTTGGGATTTTGATGGTATGTCAATAGCCAAACATGTAATTCATCATGACATTCGTTTGATGAAATGTGACATGAACGTGTCATCATTTTCCCGGACAGCTGTCTATTGAATGAGCCATAGAACAATGTAACTAACATTCTACACAAAGTCTCATCTGCTAGTTTGTCAGTACAGAATATTAGTTACATGGTCCTTTGTATACACTAAATCTGTCACAGGAAATAAGGAAACGGTCATGATGTTATTAATATTGTAGTAATTCAGCTTGTATAACTTAATGATGTAACTCCATAGAAAATCGTTCACATGATAAAGGAGCAAGAATTAGCTCTGAAACGTCTATAAATAATAAAAAGTTGTTATCCATAACAACGTGTCATGTATTCATGAACATCTTATTTTTATAGAACGTTTCCATGACAACACTCATGTGTATATTATATGTGATGTAAAACCGTATCTTATTTGAATACTTAGCTGTGAATGTCATCAAGTGCTGAAATATCCCACGTGGACTTATTGCAGTGCTTAACATATATTCATGTGACACATGATGGAGAATGAAGCAGAATTGTTCCAGAGATATCACCATATTGGCCGTGCGGCAGGTGTTGCCGAATGTATAAAGCTGTGCTGGTGTATAAGGAGGTCTAGTTCAGCCTCCCCGATGGAGGATATCTGTATCTGGAGAGCAGCTTTATCTTGTTCTCATCAACAGGTTAGAGTTTGTTAAAGGATGTGTTTCTGCTTGACAAATGATAGTAAAGTTATTTTCATTTGATTTATACTGAATGGTAAGCAATGTATATTTTGGGCAGTTGTATGTAACTGGATGCTTTGAAGATTTGAAAAAACTGCAGGAAAATGTCATGCATGATTAATTGAGTGTCAAAGCAACAGGGCGACCTGTATGATTCATCTGATTGATTGCATTAACATACTGCACAATCTGCCCTCCATAACACACATGGGCCTGTGCTATACTACTCAATGTTTGACAGGAATCTAACTTAAATCTGCCCTCAATGACACACTGACAGGAGCCTGTGCTATATTACTCAATGTTTAACAGGAATCTACTTACATCTACCCTCCAGGACACACTGACAGGAGCCTGTGCTATACTACTCAATGTTTGAAAGGAGTCTACTTACATCTGCCCTTCATGACACACTGACAGGAGCCTGTGCTATACTACTCAATGTTTGACAGGAATCTGCCTACATCTCCCCTCCATGACACACTGACAGAAGGCCTGTGCTATACTACTCAATGTTTGACAGGAATCTACTTACATCTGCCCTTCATGACATGCTGACAGGAGCCTGTGCTATACTACTCAATGTTTGACAGGAATCTACTTACATCTGCCCTTCATGACACACTGACAGGAGCCTATGCAATACTACTCAATGTTTGAAAGGAATCTACTTACATCTGCCCTTCATGACACACTGACAGGAGCCTGTGCCAACTACTCAATGTTTGACAGGAATCTACATACATCTACCCTCGAAGACACACTGCTAGGAGCCTGTGCTATACTACTCAATGTTTAACAGGAATCTGCTTACATCTCCCCTCCAGGCACACTGACAGGAGCCTGTGCTATACTACTCAATGTTTGACAGGAATCTACTTAAATCTACTCTCCATGACACACTGACAGGAGCCTGTGCCATACTACTCAATGTTTGACAGGAATCTACTTACATCTAGTAGGACATCTACCCTCCATGACACACTGACAGGAGCCTGTGCTATACTTCTCAATGTTTGACAGGAATCTACTTACATCTGCCCTTCATGACACACTGACAGGAGCCTGTGCTATACTACTCAATGTTTGACAGGAATCTACTTACATCTGCCCTCCAGGACACGCTGACAGGAGCCTGTGCTATGCTACTCAATGTTTGACAGGAATCTGCCTACATCTCCCCTCCACGACACACTGGCAGGAACCTGTGCTATACTACTCAATGTTTGACAGGAATCTGCTTAAATCTGCCCTCGAGGACACACTGACAGGAACCTGTGCTATGCTACTCAATGTTTGACAGGAATCTTCTTACATCTCCCCTCCAGGACACACTGACAGGAGCCTGTGCTATACTACTCAATGTTTGACAGGAATCTGCTTACATCTCCCCTCCATGACACACTGACAGGAGCCTGTGCTATACTACTCAATGTTTGACAGGAATCTACTTACATCTGCCCTCCATGACACACTGACAGGAGCCTGTGCTATACTACTCAATGTTTGACAGGAATCTACTTACATCTGCCCTTCATGACACACTGACAGGAGCCTGTGCTATACTACTCAATGTTTGACAGGAATCTACTTACATCTGCCCTTCATGACACACTGACAGGAGCCTGTGCTATACTACTCAATGTTTGACAGGAATCTACTTACATCTGCCCTTCATGACACACTGACAGGAGCCTGTGCTATACTACTCAATGTTTGACAGGAATCTACTTACATCTGCCCTCCAGGACACACTGACAGGAGCCTGTGCTATACTACTCAATGTTTGACAGGAATCTACGTAGGTCTGCCCTCCATGACACACTGACAGGAGCCTGTGCTATACTACTCAATGTGTGATGAGGATATACATATTATCTGACTCTCTGACATGCTTTAGGTTATACGAGTCAGAGGTATACTGCTGTATTTGATAAGGGTGTACTTCATCTGCACTCCGTAACAATGAAGGTGTGGCTACAATGGCCTGTGCTATGCTGCTCAGTACCCGATAGGGATGTACTCTGTGTACAGGCCACTATCACATAGCAGGAGTACTGTTGTGTAGCATCAGTCTGTAAATATATATTTACTTATGGGGGCAAACTGTGTGAAGCCAGGTGCTACGTAGAAGGAGGTGACATGTTTTCCCTTTTCCCAAACACCTGGTGGTGTTACTGATTTTCTGTGGTCCATTCATATGATTTTCACAGCTATTTTGTCCTTGAGTTTAAATGGAAGCTGTGTCTGAGTATGGTAAAGGCTGGATACTCTTTTGCACTGACAATATCTTTTACAACATGTGTGTAGATGTGTCTTTTTGTTAATATACCTGGCATATAATGTACAGCTTCATTTGACATCTAGTGTATATCAAATGTATGCATACTGATGAACAGAATGACTAGCATACTGATAAACAGAATAATTTCCTTCTAAAAACCGCGTCTCGCATGTAAAAAACCTAGGGTTCTTTCTAAGGGTAAGAACGACACAGAATTGCATAACTTTATCATGTTAGGATGTGATAAATTCAGGTTCACAAATTGTGCTTCAGATCTTTTGTTTATAAGTACAATATCGTTTGTATAAAAGCATCATACCCTTGCCAGTTGGTTTTACACAACAATAAGGGACCATTAATAATTTATGGCTAGGGGGGTGATGATGATTTTTATGGAGAAGCATGTACAATGTGTGCCCCCAAACAAAAATTACATACAAAGTAAGTCTGCCCCCCCATGTCATGTACAAAATCAATCATACCCCCTAATTTGTTTAAGCATAATTTTAAAATATTTTTATGTATAAAATTGCTGACAGTACATGTGTACAAGATTGATGAAAACAACCCCCCACCCACACCTCCCAAGAACAAAATGAGTGACCCCTTAAAATCATCATCACCCCCCTAGCCATAAATTATGAACGGTCCCTAGGAGTCCTTGAACAGCATCAGTCAGGGAGCAACTGCACCAGACTGGCATGTCATGATACAACTGAAACACTGGTCAACACAGTGAGAGACTCAACTTACTGACACTAATGTGTTTTTGTGAGGACCTGTTGCACTGACTGAATGATTATTTCAAAATCACATGTGAAAGTTAAGTAGAATTTTTTATTTATTTATTCAATAGCTGAACTCAGCAGTTCTTGGGTCGGTTCAAATTTCAACCCATGTTATTGGCAGGTGTTAAATTGGTCAACTGATTTTTTTTGTTTAATATTGCACTCAGCAATATTCCAGCTATATGGAGGATGTGTGTAAATAATGGAGTCTGAACCATACAATCAAGTGATCAACAGCATGAGCATCGATCTATGCAGTTGAGATACGATGACATGTGTTAACCAAGTCAGTGAGCCTGTCCACCCGATCCCTTTAGTCGCCTTTTATGACAAGCATGGGTCACTGAAGATCAGTTCTAACCCGGACCTTCATGGGTTGGCAAGTGTTAAAGCCCCATCTTTTATTCAACTCAGAGTAGTAGTATGTACACATGTTAACTTCTCCTGTCTAGACTTGTAGATGGCTGTAGACAATATAACTTAGGTTTTTGACTACAACCTTATTAACTCAGGGTGCTGCTATCAGTATCTACTTGTTATTGTAAACCAAAAGTCACTGTTTTCTTTAATCTGATTGGTTGAAAAACGTGATCAAATGGTATTCGATTCCCGGAAATTCGCTGCGTATTAATACATA